TCCCGAGTAACCTCCTCGGCTAAGGATGCACCTAGGCCGAGTACAATGCATATCGCACACCGAACACGTGCTCGGCCGACCACTCCGACATGTACCGAGCCTATCAGGTTTCCCTCCCGAGTAACCTCCTCGGCTAAGGATGCACCTAGGCCGAGTACAATGCACAACGCGCACCGAACACGTACTCGGCCGACCACTCCAACATGTACTCAGCTTCTCAGTTTTCCTCCCGAGTAACCTTTCTTAAAGTATCTAGAAAAATCTTAACTTCTAACAGTTTTGTCTAGCATATCAAAATTGACAAGTAGTAAAATGGACAAAGTCCAAGTATAGAATTTATAGGGACTTGCGCAATCCTTACTCAAGTTCAATTTGATGTTAATTGGGAAAAGAATTTGTTCAGAAATTAGTAGTAGAAATTTAATGTAATTGTAAAGGGAACATTCTTCATAGCTTATTTGAATCCACTTGTCATTCTTCATAGCTTATTTGAATTCTTTAGGATCTAGGATGACAACATTGCTTCTTTCATAAATTTTCACCCAAGGGCATCGTGCCTATTACTATATGTTGTGGAATTTTTGGTAATTCTTTCTTTGTTGAACCTCCTAGCTTCATTGTTTTTTCTTCAAGAATTTGACATCTCTAGACTCTACTTTTTAGAATTCTTCCATTTTGAAGTGCTTTGGAAGTTTTGCTATATCCTATGAAAACTGAGTTTTGCCTTTTTATGGAGTTTGTTCCCTTTAACCATTGGAACATAAGAGAAATAAACACAATCAAAACAATTTAGATGTAAATCTGGTTTGTACCCAAACCAGGATTCAAATGGAGATTTTCTATTTAGAACACTGGTTTGAAGCCTATTCAAATAAAATATTGCAGGGTTTGTAGCTTCCCACAACTTCTCTAGTAACCCCTTTTCATGTAACATGCACCTTGTCACCTCTGATACTTTTAGTTTTTCTTAAACTTACACCATTTTGTTATGAGGGTGTAATATGCAGCTTGTTGGTGCTCGATGTGAGCTTCCTTACAAAATTTGTCAAAAGTGTCATCCACATATTCTTTCTTATTATCTATCTTCTTGTACTAACCTTGATTCCCCACCAATGCTTTAAATAAATAAATCCAACAAATCTGGTGTAAGAATCAATAAATGTAAATATGTAATTTAGTATTTATTACCATTCAATTTCAAAGATGATACTCTTTAAGGTTCTCCAACATCATGCTATGCAACTTGCATGTTGCTCTCCATGCTGCTTGAGGAAATAGTCCTCTAATTTTCTTTCCATATTGATAAGCCACACATTCAGCCATCTTTTCATCAAGTAATTTTCTTATGTTTCGGCATTTATAAAAGTTCAACAAAGAAATTTCTAAGTTTGTACCATAATTCAACATTGTCGGTCATTCTTGAAAAAGTTATTTGCTCCTCCTCCATCAAATTTTAAGCATAGATTTTAGCCTAATTTTCACCATAAATATGTCTTTGCCTTTTGCATCTTTGATCAAACACAAATTGTCTTAAAAAAATGTCTTCAAAGCCCTTTTCAACAAGCTTTGCAATGTTGAACAATTATAAGGAGGAACAACCTACCCCTCTATCCACAATCGTTACTATATCATGAACAAGATAGTCTCACTCTCCCTTACCTCATTAAGGTGAATCTATAGCAAGAAGAAAAATGAAATCTAACTATGAAGCTCACTGTGTTGGCTTATGGCGGCCACTACCACCACCATCGGCAGCACTTGTACCACTGCCATTAGCACCACCACCACCACTGATATCATATCACCACCATTAGCACTGTCACCATCGTCGGTGGCAACATCTTTGCCACCACTAACGTCTATTCTACCATCATCATTGTTGTTATTATCACTACCACTATCCCATCACACAAACACACCTTTAAACTTTACCTCCCACTTTTATTTATACATCTCTATTATATTTTATTTTTTTTCCCAAAATTTCCCTCTTTTTAGAACTCCTTTTCTGAAAGTGTTAAAATTATAACACTTTCATAAATTAGTTTTCCGAAGCTAATTTAAAGTTGAGAATTCTAGATGGCCTTTGATGCATCTCCTTTTATAAACACCACTGACAATGCAGGGTAATAATTTTTTCCTAAACCACTTTTCTATTTTTTTCTCCAATTATAGCTAGGAATGTTCACAATGTATCTGGTCAGGTGTGCTTAAAAGGTATGATTTTTGGTCAATATTTTTTTTTTTCTAATGCAATTTTTTAAGGAAAACTATTAAAATGGCCGCATACTCGATAAATCTGTGTTCCCATTTTTAATATGCTCTGTTTTATGTTGTTTCACATTATAAACTTTAAGCTTTCACTTTTAAAATGAAAAAAAAATGATTTCATAGTGATGCGAGCAAATCATAGATATAATCAAATATGTTTCAGTTCATTTGTTTTAAAATTGAATTAAATTAGAAACTAGAAGGTTTCATTTCCTTTCCTTTCTTATAGTACGATTGACCATAAATCATTGGAGACCTCCAGATCAACAACAATGTGGACAAATTCATTCTATTTATTGGGTAGTAGTGCCATGGTTCTAAATTGTGGTTGTAATGCAGTTGCGAGGGATCTTAAATCCTTTACGTTGCAGCTGTGAACTGCAATTTAAAACCTTGGGTAGTACATAATACAAAGAGTCAAGGGAGGTGACTTGGTCAACATCTTACAGCAGAAACCTTTCTTCTTTCAAACCCAATTGGAGGTGTGAAGCAGAATTAACCTTTTCAGCCTTATGACTTAAAATGAAGAAATGATATTATCTGTTAGCATGAAATTTGACACCAAATATTAATCCATGACTTATGTTAAAAATAGACTTCCGAATTTAAAAAAAAAAAAAGAAGTCATTTCATATCCACATTTCTAAAATAATAAGTACTGCTCATACCCATGTAACTTATCCAAGTATCAATGAAATCAAAGATAAATGAATGACAATCATGGTTTGCAGCTTAGATTCAACTTAATCCATTTTATTACCTGGTGTATTATTCCAAATTTGTTATTTGTTGCGTATCCCAAAGAGCAAGCAATGGATATGGCATTTCTGATGATAAGTTTATTGTAATATTTGCAGGAGTTTTTTGAAGAATTGGACTACAAGTGTTTTTCTGATAATCTTTATATCCAAGCAGACTGGCCTAGTAAAGTTGTAACTTTGAAGCTGGAAAAGTGTATGCTATCATTTGTAGTTCCATATGCCATTCTTCCACTTTTAAACAACTTGAAAGAATTGGAAGTGCGGGCTAGCCCCAAAGTAGAGGTAATATTTTACATGAAAGAAGACACTGAGATTAAGGGAACAACATCCCAGTTGAAGAAATTGACTTTACGAGGGCTACCAAAACTAACGCGTGTGTGGCAAAAAAATAGAGAAGGAGTTCTCATCTTTCAAAACCTGCAAGAAGTCGTTGTAAGTGATTGTAAAAACCTGCAGACTTTATTTCCTGCTTACCTGGCAAAAAATCTTGAGAAGCTTGAGAAACTTGAAATAGAATCTTGTCACAAATTTCAAGAAATTGTTGATAAGGAAGAAGGCACAACAACAAATGTAACAGAAAAGTTTGTGTTCCCTCGTTTAGAGAATTTGAAGCTTTGTCACTTGCCACAACTCACTTACTTTTACCCTCAAACATTCACTCTCAAATGCCCTGCCTTAAATAGCTTATATGTGTTGGATTGTCATGAGCTGGAGCTATTTCAAAGTGCACATCTAAAGGCTGAGGGTGAAGGTAGGAGTACTTCAATTAATAGACAACCTCTTATTTCAAATCTAAGGGTAAGCAAAGCATCATAGAATTGCACTCTCAACTTCTTTTGTTTTTTCACCTTCTAATTCATAGTCCTTTCCTATCCTATTTGTTTTGCCCTTAATTATTAGGTTATTTTCAACCTGAAAGAATTGAGACTTGATTGGAAACACATTTTGGCATTAAGCTCAAGGTTTGAGTCAGAGCAATTTACAGAAGAACTCAAAGACTTAAAGCATATTGCCATGTCGTTCTTTGACACTGATGAGAATGAGATGCCTACGTTGCCCATTGAAATACTCCAGAAGGCACCAAATTTAACAGAAATGACTATGGATTATTGCAATAACCCCAAAATTGGTGAGGATGCAATCCTTGGACAGTTCACAATATTGACACTCAATGATGTGTGGAAGCTCCCATCCATCGAATCAGAGGACGAGTCAGAGGACAAGTCAGAGAATGAGTCATTGTTAAACATAATCTGTGAGAAGCTCCACAAATTAAAAGTTTTACAATGTCCTCATATGACAACATTAGTAGATGCTACTTCTACGGTGTCTTTCTCTTGTTTGAAAAAAATATCTATATCCAACTGTCCCAAATTGCAGTATTTATTTACATCTTCGGCAGCAAAAAAGTTAATGAACCTTGAGAAGATCACAGTGAGGAAATGTGAATCAGTGAGAGATATAGTGGCCAACGAGGAAGATATAGTGGCCAACGAGGAAGATGCAACTTCAGTCATTAAATTTGAGCGACTTCATACCGTTGTTCTACATTCTTTACCAAGCCTGGTTTACTTTTACTCGGGCAGTGTCACACTGCAATTATCCTCTTTGAAAAAAGTGCATATATGGCAATGCCAGAATATGAAGAGTTTCTCCAAAGGAGTCATAAATGCAGAATCGTTTGGAAGAATTCAGCTGTCGTCAGATCCAAAACAGGATTCACTCTTACACCAAAGTCTTAACGCCACTATAAAAGGGATGGCACAACGACTGGTAAGAGCTCCTTTTAAATCAAATGATTAAATATGAATAAATAATATATGCACGAACATAATAAAAGATTATCACATCATTTAATTACAAATTATATATATATATATATAATATATAATAATCTTGTTAATTTTATAAAAATTATAACCATACAAAATAATTTCTGATTAATTAATCATAGAAGAACCTGTACACAAGTGAATGCTTATTAATTTCTGATTAATTAATTTCTATATATATTGGCATTTTCCTTCTGACTAATAAAAAAAAAAAATTTGCATTTCGTAAATTTAATGCCATCAACAATTTATTATTTATTCCAAATCTATTTGCATATACAACTCAGTTATTCTATAAATATAATTTAGGTCATGTTAGCAAATTAGCTTATTAGTCACATCTGATTTTTACTTTTACTATTTTTTATATAAAAAATATTATAATTGCTATACATATTTTAATTGTTAACATTCGCCTTTTTATTTGATTAGATTTGGTCGTTCAATATATCAATTTTTTTAACTTTCTCATTAGTTTGTCTGCTTCAATGGAAGGAAGGGGAGGGAAGGGGTTAGAAGTTATGTTAGGTTCAAAGGAGGGGAACGGAGGAATTTACATGGAAGGAAGGAGAAGTTACTATTTTCTTGTTTGGTTTATAAAGGGAGGGGGAAGATTTTAAAAATTAATTTACTTTTGTACCTTTTAAGTTTTGAATTTAAAAATAAGGAAATACATTTTAGGTCAGCTCTCAAAATCTCCCTAATATTGGAGGGGAGCTAAAATTAGATGAGAGGATTTTGCGTCCTTCCTTTCCTAAAAGTTGAACCAAACAAAAAAACTTTATAAAAATTCTCCTCTCCCCTCCATTTCTCTCCAACCAAATACTATGTAAACAAGTAGATAATCAAAATCAACCAATCATCACAAAATTTTTGCAGAAATATGAAGGTAATAAATTTGGCCTAATATTTGTTTTGTTTATATTATTTTTAAAAAGAACACTTTGGATATGTAGAGAGAAAGAAACAAAATATTTATTAAGAAATGAGAGAAATGTAGAAAAGATGCCAAGCCTTTGTGTACAAATAGTATTTATATAGGGGCTTGGTTATAGGTTAGTTACAAACAATAACTTAAAGCCATTACAACTTAACAAGAGTAAACTACCTATAGTTAAACAAAACAAAATACAGAAAGGAGTTATACACTCAGACACCCCTTGCAAACTCAAGGAGGGTGAGAAACCAAAGGGAGCTCTGGCACATTGAGTTTGTTACATAGAAAAGAAAATCTAGTAGGTTACAAAGGCTTAGTAAGAATATCGTCCCAATGATCTTGTCCTAGGAGCGGGATATATTGAACAAGTTGTTTAGCAACAACTTTCTCTCAAACAAATAAAACATCAAGCTCCATGTGCTTTGTTCTTGCATGTAGCTTAGGATTATGAGCCAAATTCACAGAACTAAGATTATCATAAATAATTAAAGGACACTTGGGGTTGGTCAATGCTTAGAACCCATTACATTGCACGCCAAACATCTGGTTCTAGAGGATCGAAGCTTTGCGATAAAACTTTTTTGTTTAGTGCCATCACACAGAGCATCAAACCTCAATCTCCAGAGGTTTTGTGCTTAGCTCCATTACAATGTCCTTTAACGCCACAACACATTTCATCATGTATTTGGCTCAGAAGGGCTTGCGCTTAGTGCAACAGAGTTTCACTTAGCACGAAGTGATGAACAACAGAACACAAAACTCAAATATTTGATTCTAGGAGCCTTCATGGCTCCCAAACCACCGATTCACTCAATGGTGTTCAAAGATCTCTTCTCTACATTTCTAACCGACCAATTCCTCATTTTAAACTCATCAATCATTCAAGTATTTCAAAGATCACCACAAAATCCTAACCATGAGTGGTGCATACAACAACACACGTAATTAAAAGAAGAACATGACATAAGAACATAGGGATTGGAGAAGACAAGAAGGGGATGCACTCACCTCGAGCAATGCAGGAAAATGAACCCTTGGGTGGGATTTCTTGGCCTTCTTGTCTTTCTCTTCCTTTTTTCTCTATTTTTGTCCCTACCCTTTCTTCTCTAAATCCTTCTTCCTTCCTTTACTATAAAAACATGAGCATGTGTGTGGTATGGTTCAACCCCTTTTTTGTGTTTCAAAGCCTTACCAGGGCCTTTTTATCTAGGAGAGAGACAGAACTTTTTTGTACAACTTTTTTTTTCTTAAAAAATCATTTTTTTTATTAAAAAAAAGCACTTATTGAAATTTTATAAAGGCTTAAATATGTTTAAACTACCTCGAATTAGCTTGATTTTCAGATTACCGCTTTTTAAATTTTTTTTGTTTAAATTACCTGAATAATATTTTTTTTTCAATTTAGTACCTGACGTTAGTCTCCTCTGTTAAATGATGACGTGCCACGTCATCACCAACAATGTATGCCATGTCAGTACACATCTCCATCTCATTCTCCATGTAATTTTCCACGTCAGACTTGAAATTAAAAAAAAAAAAAAGAAATTTGTTTCGCGTTGGAAATTTACGAACCGACCTCCCCTTGTCGCCGCCCCACCTCCCTTCCCTTCGACCGCATCACACAAACCCTAAATAGAAGGGTTCATATTTCTTCGCCGGCAAAGTCCACGTCTGCCCACCGCCAAAGTGATGTTGGGATACAAACAAGTCTCACATCGATAAAATAAAAACAAGAAATAATAACTTATATAATACAAACATACTTCAATGATCGAGAGACCTTTTGGGTAATGACCAAAAAGCAAAACCGTGAGGGCTAAGGCCCAATGCGGACAATATCTCATCATTGTGGAGTATGTTTGTGTAATAACCTTATAAAAATAACTTTCATAAAATATCCCCTCAGACAAATATCATTAAAATAACCACTGGCAGGTTGGATTTGGTGACAACCAATAACCCCCATAAAAACTCATAACATATAATGTGCTATACGTTGCATGAAAGGTTAGGTCCCTTATTTGAGGGGAGGATTGCTGGGATACAAACAAGTCCCACATTGATAAAATAAAAACAAGAAATAATAACTTATATAATACAAACATACTTCAATGATCGAAAGACCTTTTGGGTAATGACCAAAAATTAAAACCGTGAGGGCTAAGGCCCAAAGCGGACAATACCTCATCATTGTGGGGTATGTTTGTGTAATAACCTTATAAAAATAACTTTCATAAAATATCCCTTCAGACAAGTATCATAAAAATAACCCCATCAGAGACAAGTCCCACATCGATAAAATAAAACAAGAAATAATAACTTATATAATACAAACATACTTCAATGATCGAAAGACCTTTTGGGTAATGACCAAAAATTAAAACCGTGAGGGCTAAGACCAAAAGCAAAACCGTGAGGGCTAAGGCCCAAAGCGGACAATATCTCATCATTGTGGAGTATGTTTGTGTAATAACCTTATAAAACAATCATCATAAAATATCCCCTCAGACAAATATCATAAAATAACTCCATCAAGTGAAACACCACCGTCGGCACACGCACGGAAGCGATGACATGTCGTAGCACATGTCAAACAGCGCCACTCCCTCGGCGGAACGCAAGTTCTGCGTCATCCTCCGAAACGCGTCGCAAATGACCTCATAGGCCTGGGTCCTTAGCCGCGTGATGGCGGTGCCGGAATCAACGATGACGCCGCCGACACCGGACTGGTCAACGTCGAAAGTCTCTGGTGGGACGAAGATGGCTTCCCCGCGCCGACGCTGAATCCGGTGAGTTTGATGTAATAGAATGTGTTTAATTTCTGGTTTTTGATTAACTGTGCAGTGACTGAGTCACTGGGTAGCAGTCGGAGCAGGGCTTGCACCGGAGCCAGTTGATGTCGAAGCCGGTGTGGATTGTTCTAGAAGGTTTGGGGTGGAGGTGAGGATTTGGTGGGCTTGGTGGAGGGAGGAGGTGACATTGAGAAGAGTGGTGTGTTTGTGTGATGGGGTGGTGCGAGAGGAAAGTGTTGTGACGATGAAAAGTGTTGATACTAGGAATGAGAGGTGGGGCGGCGACGAGGGGAGGCCGGTTCGTAAATTTCCAACGCGAAACAATTTTTTAATTTTTTTTAATTTCAAGTCTGATGTGGAAAATTATGTGGAGAATGAGATGGAGATGTGTATTGATATGGCATACACTGTTATGTGATGACGTGGCAGTCCGTTTGCCATGACATCATTTAACAGAGGAGACTAACGTCAGATACTAAATTGAAAAAAAATATTAATCAGGTAATTTAAAGAAAAAAAAATTTAAAAAGTAGTAATCTAAAAATCGAGCTAATTCGATGTAGTTTAAACATATTTAAGCCTTTTATAAATGTTGGGGTAAAAACTTTTATAATAATCAGAAGCAGAAAAATAAAAAATAGTTGCTTGAGAGGCATAAAATTTTAAACAAGTACTTTTAATAATTGTAACCAAACACAAAACAACTTCTGCTTATATAAATTTTCATAAAAATAAATCACTTGTTATAAAATCACATTTTTTTAAACTTAAACAAACAGGCCAACATATCTTATGATATACTAATTGTAATATTTACAGGAGTTTTTTGAAGCCTTAGTTGAGACACGTTTTCGTGGGAATCTTGAGCTACAAGCAGACAGGCATGGTAATGTTGCTGTTGGTCTACAAAACAAATGGTTGCGCCATTTGGTAACTTTGAAGCTGGACAACTGTATTCTACCATATGCAATTCCATCTCCTATTCTTCCTCATTTAAAAAACTTAAAAGAATTGGAAGTGCATGATAGCGACAAGGTAGAAGTAATTTTTAATATGAATGACATTGAGATCATGGAAACAGCATCTCAAATGAAGAAATTGACATTAAAAGGGCTATCGGAGCTGACACATGTTTGGGGAAAAAATAGTCAAGCAGTTCTCATATTTCGGAATCTGCAAGAGGTCGTTGTTAGTGATTGTAAAAACTTGCAAACTTTATTTCCTGCTTTGCTGGCAAAAAATCTTGAGAAACTTGAGAAACTTGAAATAGGACATTGTCACAAATTGCAAGAAATTGTTGAAAAGGAAGAAGGCACAACAGAAGATGTAACAGAAAAATTTGTTTTTCCTCGTTTAGAGGTGTTGGATCTTTGTGACTTGCCACGCGTCAGTTACTTCTACCCACAAACATTCACTCTGGAATGCCCTACCTTAAATAAATTATCTGTGTTGGATTGCCATAAGTTGGAGTTATTTCAAAGTGCTCATCCCTCAGGTGAGGGTAAAGGTATGGGTACTTCAATTGACAGACGGCCTCTTATCTCAAATCTAAAGGTAAACAAAGCTTCATAATATCTGCACTCTCAACTTTTCTGTTTTCATCTTTTAATTGACATTCCTTTCTATCCTGTTTGTGTTGCCTTAATTTGTTAGGTCATTTCCAACCTTAAAGAATTGAGACTTGATTGGAAACACATTTCAGCATTAAGCTTAAGGTTTAGGTCAGGGCGATTTATGAAAGGCCTCAAATATTTAAACGAATTTTCCATGTATGTTGGTGCTGATGAGAATGAGAAGCCTATGTTGCCCAATGAAATACTCCAAAAGGCACCCAATTTAATTGAAATGGGTATAAACAATTGCAATAGTCCTGAGATATTCCTAGCTGCAAACCTCAATATAGGGCAGTTGAGAATATTGAAACTATGTGAAGTATCCAAACTGCAGTCCATCAAGCCAGAGGACTCATCATGGAGAAACACAATCTGTGAGAAGATCCAGGAATTAAATGTTGTCAGATGTCCTCACCTGACGACATTGGTACATTCTACTTCTACAGTGTCTTTCTCTTGTCTGAAAAAAATATCTATATCCAACTGTCATATATTGCAGTATTTATTCACATCTTCAGCAGCAAAATTGTTAATAAACCTTGAGGAAATTACAGTCGAGGAATGTGATTCAGTGAAAGAAATAGTGGCTAAAGGAGGTGCAACTTCAGAAGCCATTAAATTTGAGCGACTCAAATCCATTGTTCTACATTCTTTACCAAGTCTGATATGTTTTTACTCGGGCAGAGACACACTTCAATTATCATCTTTGAAAACAGTACATATAAGTAAATGCCCTAAGATGAAGATTTTCTCCCAAGGAATCATATTTGCAGAATCGTTCAAGGGAATTCAAATGTCATGGGTTGCTAAACAAGATTTGCTCTTCCACCAAGATCTTAATGCCACCATAAAAGTGATGTTGCAACGACAGGTAAGAACTTCATTTTAATACAATTGATATTATTTGTTAATCAGACACTTTTTTATTAGACTATATTAGGTCATTCAATTTTCAAATTTATTCAAGCATCAAATTTTATGTTTCAAATTTAGTTACGTGCTCATTAAATGAATAGTTAGCCAACCCATCATTACAATTCATAAAAATTGTTCCATTTTGATTGTCCTTTTACAATTCGAATAAAACATTAAATATATTTTCTCTTACTTTCCTCAACTATTTATTGTGGAGTGGAAAAATATAAAAAGAGCATAGATGAGAGAGAATCTAATTAATATGCAAGATAAAGGTATATTAGAAAATTACATAATTCCTTTTTATGAAATCTAAAATATTATTTGCATTTCTAATAATGGTGCAAATATTTATATTGTCAAACACAATAGAACGAGGAAGTAGTATTTTATATGACTTCTTTGGGAGTTTAAAATTTTCTTAAAAATTATAACTTAAATAAAATGTTTGAATTGTTTGGTATTTTTAAAGTTAAAACTTGTTAGTAGTGTAGTATTTTGAAATTATCTTGAATAAAAAAATATGGAAAAGTAGAAGCTAAAAATTCCTAAAACTAAGTTTCTTAAAGCTCTTTTTAAAATTTTTCCTCTTTGAAAAATATTTTAAAGTTTATTCTAAAAAGCCTATTTCACTCAACATGAGTCAAATATTACCTAATTTTATATATACTATAGCTTTGATTTCATATTTTATTAGAAAGTTATAGGTCCCTCCAGCATGTAATATGTTTTTTTTATCTGTATAATATGTTTTCTTTAAGCACATTATATATCAACTTATAGTGTTTGAATAGTTGAAAATATTAAAGAAATGGTAGACCACCTAAAACAAAAATGTAGGTTGGGATACTTAAGCAAAATTGTTGTTTAGTATAATTAGTATTCGAGTTTAATTGGTATGATAAAAGTATAAACAAGTATAACTCTGATATTCATTAATATTTGAATACATTAAACTATACCAATGTAGTTCAAAATAAATATAATAAAATACTATGTAAATATTACTAGAGCTTTTATTGCGCATTTTATTGAAACGTTATAGATAAATTGCTAAAGCATGCAACGTTTTCTTAAGCATACTGTCAACTTATTAAGAAATGGAGATTGACAACTTAAAAATTAATTAAAGACCATAGTTGACAACCTATAGCTATCCTGCAGAATTCTTCCCACATATTTCAACAATATGTACAATTAATTTAATTGAGTTTTTTTTTTAGCATTTTCAATAATATATTAACAGACTAAATATGCTAATAAAAATCTCTAACGACGATTTTGCACAGTATTATCTTCTTCTTTTTTTTTTTCTGCAGTTAAAAGTGTAGAATCAAATATAGCAATTCGAAGGCACTATTTTGGAATATATATATATATATATATATATATATATATATATATATCAGTATATGTATATATTTTATCTTTTTCTTATCAAATTTTCTATTTAGAAAAAGACAATGTAAAATTGTTTCTTTTACAAGAATTATTTTTCTTTAGCAAAAAATGGTTGCATTTTTTCTTTATATAGAATTGTTTTTGTTGGTCTATTTTTTTAAATGATATTTACTTTCTCCTTTTTCTTTGTGATTTTTTTTAATTAGTATGTGACTCCGTGTTTTCCAAAGTAACTAAAAGCTACAAATTTGTGTCAAATACTGTCATATTTCCATTAATATAGAAAAACTACATTCCTAAGCAACAATACTCAATCAAATCTATAAAATATGACCCTTTGATTAATTCTGTAAGTGTTACTAGAAATTTACAAAACAACAATAGAAATTTCTTTCTACTATGTGAATTTAGCTACATGAATTGCACAGCAACATTATACTTAGATTAAATACCAAATTCCCAAAGACATTTTTTAATTATTCAGATTTCTCCTCATGTAAAAAAAAAAATATAATTATGAGATTTCTCTCAACTATTTCTTTTAATATTCTTTTTGGTCTTCCTCTACCCTTTTCTAGTGACCTAAAAGTCAAGTAATGTACTTTCCTTATTGATATCGTACACCTTTGCACATGTCTAAACCACCTTTACTAATTTTTTGTTATGTATTCTCTAATCATGAATGGCCACTCATCCATCTCAACATTTTTTATTTTGTATATTCTCACATTTTTTCTCTCTTATTGTTTTCAATATAATTACACAAATAAAAAGAATTTAATTAGAATGCACTATTGACAGTGTAAAAAAAATTATATTGTCATGTATTCATGAATTACTATAATTTTTTTGACTTGTAATAAAATTACTTTAAAAGTAATACATTCGTAATTTTTTTTTTATCAATATAAAAATATTTTAACTGATAGTATTTTTAATTAAAATAGCTCTTTTTTTTATTAATTTTAATATAACAAGTTCACTTTCCAACATTTTTCCAAAAGAGAATAATATTTTTTATAAGTTATTCTCAAGTTAAATTTTATGAGATACTCCCTCCGTTTTTTATTCATAGTCGTTTAAGGTTTTGCACGAGACTTAAGAAAATGATTGATATTTTAGTTTTCAAAAATATATATTACTTACTTTCCTATTCTACCCTCTATTTTTTTAATAGTATTTCGTTGGAAACATATTGCCCTTTTAAATGCAACATTAAATTCACATAGGTGATTGGAGAAAAAGTAGGTAGACATTAAAAATAAATAGACACATTGTTCACTAAACATACATTAATTATCAAGGGTAAAAATGAGGAAAAAAAATTAATAAGTCATTGATTTTAGTAAAATGACAATGAAAAAAAAATGACAAATTCTGACAAAACGACTATGAATAAAAAATGGAGAGAGTAATGTTTTCTTGAATCGGTGTATAGACACCAGTTTTTTTATGAAATGGAAGATAAATGGTTGACAATCATGATTTGTAACATAGATTGAACTCTAATCCATTTTATCCTTAAGTGTAGTTTTTGCTTTCAATTTAAAGATGCAATGAAAGGAAAAGCATCTAAAATTAAGGATTGCTAACAATAGATTTCAATCAATAATAAAATAAGTATATTAAAAAAAATGTCAGAAAATATGTTTGTAGCTTTTTTCTTGTAAATTTACAAAACTGTTTACAAGCAGACATGGTCACAAACAGCAAGCAATGTTGTTATATCTGCTGATATACTAATTGTAATATTTACAGGAGTTTTTTGATGCATGTTTTCGTTGGAATTATGAGCTACAAGCAGACAGCCATGGTAATGTTGCCATTGTTCTACAAAATAAATGGTTGGGCAAATTGAGAACTTTGAACCTGTCCAAGTGCATTCTACCATGTGCAATTCCGTCTGTTATTCTTCCACTTTTAAAGAACTTAAAAGAATTGGAAGTGCTTGACAGCGACAAAGTAGAGGTTATTTTTAATATGAATGACACTGAGATAATGAAAACAGCATCTCCAATGAAGAAATTGACTTTAAAAGGGCTATCAGATCTAACACATGTTTGGGGAAAGAATAGTAAAGGTCTCATGTTTCCAAATCTACAAGAGGTTTTTGTTAGTGATTGTAAAAACCTGCAAACCTTATTTCCTGCTTCCTTGGCAAAAAATCTTGAGAGGCTTGAGAAACTGGAAATAGAATCTTGTCATAAATTGCAAGCAATTGTTGAAGATGAAGAAGGCACAACAACAAACATAACAGAAAAGTTTGTCTTCCCTCGTTTAGAGAAGTTGAATCTTTGTCACTTGCCACAGGTCACATACTTTTACCCTCAAATGTTCACTCTAGAATGCCCTGCCTTAAATAGCTTGTCTGTGTTGGATTGCCATGAGCTGGAGTTATTTCAATGTGCACATCTAAAGGCTGAGGGTGAAGGTTCGAGTACTTCAATTAACAGACAGCCACTTTTCTCAAATGTGAAGGTAAACATCATAGAATCTGCATTCTCAAACTTTTTTTTTCTTTTCATCTTCTAATTCACTGGCCTTCATATGCTATTTGTTTTTCCTTTAATTGTTAGGTCATTTCCAACCTGAAAGAATTGCAACTAGATTGGATACACATTTTGGCATTAAACTTAAGATTTAAGTCAGGGCAATTTATGACAGATCTCAAATATTTAAATGAAATTACCCTGTGCCTTGGTGTTGTTAAGAATGAGAAGCCTATGTTGCCCGTTGAATTACTCAGAAAGGCACCCAATTTAATGGAAATGAGTATAAACAACTGCAGTAGTCCTGAGATATTCCTTTCGGCAAATGTCGTTACAATTGCAATTGGTCATTGGATGCTTAGACAGTTACAAAAACTGAAACTATGTGAAGTATCCGAGCTCCAGTCCATCAAGTCAGAGTACTCATCCGGGAGAATCACAATCTTTGAGAATATCCATGAATTAAATGTTGTCAGTTGTCCTCATTTGACAACATTAGTACATTCTTCTTCCACAGTGTCTTTCTCTTGTATGAGAAAAATGTCTATATACAAATGTCACAAATTGCAGTATTTATTTACATCTGCAGTAGCCAAAATGTTGATGAACCTTGAGGAGATCACAGTCGAGGAATGTGAATTAGTGAAAGAAATAGTGGCTAAAGAGGGAGATGCAACTTCTACAACCATTAAATTTGAGCGACTCAACACCATTGCTCTATATTCTTTACCAAGTCTGATATGTTTTTACTCGGGCAGTGACACTCTGCAATTACCATCTTTGACAACAGTGCGTATAGGAGAATGCCGCAATATGAAGATCTTCTCTTATGGAGTCATATATACAAGATTGTTTCGAGGAATTCAGATGTTGTCAGATGATCCAAAACAAGATTTGCTCTTCCACCAAGATCTTAATGGCACTATAAAAGTGATCTTGCAACGACAGGTAAGAACTTCATTTCATTAAAAAATAACTAAATATATTACCATTACATGAATCTAGTGTCCTTGGCAATATATATATATATATATATATATATATATTAGTATTCACAACTCATTTATTCCATGAATATCATATAGGGAAAATTAGCTTATTAGTCACATAAGTTTCTACTTTAAAATTATAAATATCAATATACTTTTTTTTTTCATCTTATTTCCATTTCCCTTTTTGTTTTTTTTACCGTCACATTAATTACTTCTTGTATTTATCATTTTCACTCTTATTGTTATCTCTCCTCTATTTACCTCATTGATTATATATATATATATATATATATGAAGGGATCCATTTACTCTGATATTTATATATATTATAAGTTGTTAACAGTTCTCCTTTTTATTAGATTAGATTAGTTCATTCAATATTATATGAAATAAAAGATATATATCAGTCATGATCTGCAACTTGTATTCAACTTTATTATATCGCTTGCTTTATTTTTTCCTTTCAATTTAAAGATTTTCAAATAAAAAGCATTATCCATTAGTAAAGTCATTGTTTATAGGCAGACGAAATCAGGCAGAGACAGCAATTAATGGATATACATGACAATATATTAGATGATATACTAATTATAATATTTACAGGAGTTTTTTGATGCCTTGGTCAAAACATGTTCTCCTCGAAATTTTGAGCTACAAACAGACAGGCAGGGTAATATTGCCATTGGTCTACAAAACAAATGGTTGCGCAATTTGAGAGCTTTGAACCTGGCCCAGTGCATTCTACCATGTGCGATTCCGTCTGTTATTCTTCCACTTTTAAAAAACTTAAAAGAGTTGGAAGTGCGATACAGTGACAAAGTAGAGGTAATTTTTGATATGAATGACACTGAGATTATGGAAACACCATCCCAAATGAAAAAATTGACTTTAAAAGGGCTATCCGAGCTGATACATGTTTGGGGAAAGAATAGAGAAGGAGTTCTCATGTTTCCAAATCTGCAAGAGGTTGTTGTTAGTGATTGTAAAAATCTGAAAACTTTATTTCCTGCTTCTCTGGCAAAAAATCTTGAGAAGCTTGAGAAACTTGAAATACAATCTTGTCATAAATTGCAAGCAATTGTTGAAAAAGAAGATGGCAAAGCAACAAATGCAATCGAAAAGTTTGTGTTCCCTCATTTAGAGAAGTTGAATCTTTGTCACTTGCCACAGGTCACTTACTTTTACCCTCTAACATTCACTCTGGAATGCCCTGCCTTAAACAACTTACATGTGTTGGATTGTCATGAGCTGGAGTTATTTCAATGTGAACATTCCATGGTTGAGGGTGAAGGTATGAGTACTTCAATTAACAGACAACCTCTTATCTCAAATCTAAAGGTATTCAACATATAATTTGCATAAGTGTTTTCTCTTTGTCATCTTCAAATTCACAGTCCTTACTATCCTATTTGTTTTGCCTTTAATTGTTAGGTGATTTCCAACCTAAAAGAATTGGAACTTGATTGGAAACACATTTCAGCATTAAAGCTGAGATTTGGATCAGAGCAGTTTCCTGAAGGCCTCAAAGATTTAAAGCATATTGCCCTGCTCTTTGATGCTAATGAGAATGAGAAGCCTATGTGGCCCATGGAAATACTCGGAAAGGCACCCAATTTAATTGAAATGAGTATAAACAATTGCTATAGTTCCAAGATATTCCTTGCTCAAAAGCCCAAAACTTGTGGGGATGGGATGCTTGGACAGTTAAAAATATTGACACTATGCAATGTATCCATGTTCCGGTCCATCGAGTCAGAGGACTCATCATGGTTAAACACAATATCTGAGAAGCTCCAGGAATTAAATGTTGTAAGATGTCTTCATTTGACAACGTTGGTACTGACAATGTCTTTCTCTTGTCTAAAAAAAGTGTCTATCTCCAACTGTCCCAAATTGCAGTATTTATTTACATCTTCAGCAGCCAAAAAACTGATGATGCTTGAGGAGATAAAAGTTGAAGAATGTGAATCACTGAAAGAAATTGTGGCTAAAGAGCTAGATGTTATTTCAGAAGTCGTTAAATTTGAGCGGCTTAACAACATTGTTCTACATTCTTTACCAAGTCTAATATGGTTTTCCTCGGGCAGTGACACTTTGCAATTATCGTCTTTGATAACAGTGCATATAAGGAAATGCCCCAATATGAAGATTTTCTCCAAAGGAGTCATATATGCAGAATCATTTCAGGGAATTCAGATGTCATCGGATCCAAAACAAGATTTACTCTTCTACAAAGATCTTAACACCACTATAAAAGGGATGTTGCAACGACGGGTAAGAACTTCATTTAAATTAAACAATGAAAAATATAAATAAATAATACGTCTAAATTATCATTTAGTCATTAACCACAATATATAATGTGTTATTTTTTAGGACAAAACTTATTAACAGTACCAAATGTACTGTTTTTACTGTTGTCCCGTGATGTAGTAACATCTGTCTTATTTTTTCCATGTCATTAGACTAACATTTAGCACCATCAATTCCTTTTTCCCTTTGATTCTGTCTCGGCCTTTGTCTTTGTGGTCCGACTAATCAACAAACACAACTTTCACATTCCTTTGGTCTATAGTATTATAACTTTTCCTGACTTTGTATTTTTTTTATTTGCGTTTTCAAGTCTAACTTATGAATTGATTGTGTAGTTTTTGTTTGAAAAATAATATATAATTTATTAATTAAATTTCCAATTTAAGAAGATAATATAGCACTCTTTTTTTTATTATTATTTATGAACAGTGTGTAGTCATCATTTCCTTTAAATTAAAATGAAAAAGTTTCAAATTTAAAAGAACAGTTGTTTTTATAATATTTTGAACTTTTAGAGTAAAAAGTTACATTGATTCCTAAAAGTGACGAGTGTTCTTGAAACTAAGAAAATGTTAAATAAGCCTATAAATTTAAATACTATCATTTTGGTCCTTAAATATATATTAACATTATCATTGTAGTCACACTTTTTGCCTTTTAGTTTTAAACTAATGTGATTGTTAATTTCCACTTCTAGGTATCTATTTGACATTTTCTTAGTTTTAGAGATTAATATGTCATCTTCTAAATTTAAAGAATAAAATGATCATTTATTCATTACCTTCAAGCTAAAATTTCTGATTTTTTTTTCTTTAAACAGTGTAATAGACCCCAGCTAGTTTTTTTAATGAAAAAAAGATAAATGATTGACAATCAAAATTGCAACTTGGATTCAAATCTAATTCATTTAATTACTTGGTATAGTTTTTCTTTCAATTAAAAGATGCTAAATCAAAAAGCATTGCAAATGTGTAACATTGTTTAAAGGCAGATGCAGTGACCCAAAGCAAGAAATGGATATGTTATATCTGATGATATACTAATTGTTATGTTTACAGGAGTTTTTTGAAGCAGTGAATGAAGTTGAAGAGTTCCTTTCTGACCAGGAGGAGGAGTTCTACTCTGACCAGGACGAGGATCTTTTTGATCTACAAGCAGACAGGCATGGTAATGTTGCCGTTGGTAGTCAAAACAAATGGTTGCGCAATTTGAGAGAATTGAAGCTGGACAAGTGCATTCTACAATGTGCAATTCCATCTGTTATTCTTTCTCTTTTAAAGAACTTAAAAGAATTGGAAGTGCGGGATAGCAACAAAGTAGAGGTAATTTTTGACTTGAGTGACACTGAGATATCGGAAGTCCAGTTGAAGAAATTGACTTTGAAAGGGCTAGCAGAGCTCACACATGTGTGGGGAAAGAATAATCAACGAGTTCTCATCTTTCGAAATCTGCAAGAGGTGGTTGTTAGTGAATGTAAAATCCTTCAAACTTTATTTCCTGCTTCCCTCGCAAAAAATCTAGAAAAGCTTGAGAAACTTGAAATAGAATCTTGTCATAAACTGCAAGCAATTGTTGAAGAGGAAAAAGGAACGGCAGCAAACGTAATGGAGAAGTTTGTGTTCCCTCGTTTAGAGAAGTTGAATCTTTGTCACTTGCCACAGGTCACATACTTTTACCCTCTAACATTCACTCTGGAATGCCCTGCCTTAAACAAATTACATGTGTCGGATTGTCATGAGCTGGAGTTATTTCAAAGTGCACATCTAAAGGCTGAGGGTGAAAGTAGGATTACTCCTATTAACAGACAGCCTCTTATTTCAAATCTAACGGTAAGCAAAGCATTCTGGAATCCCCACTACTCTCAACTTTTCTCTTTTCATCTTTTAATTAACAGTCCTTTCTGTCTTATTTGTTTTTCCTTTAATTGTTAGGTCATTTCCAATCTGAAAGAATTGACACTTGATTGGAAACACGTTTTGGCATTAAAATTAAGGTTTGAGTCAGAGCAATTCATAGAAGGTCTCGAAGATTTAAAGCATATTGACCTGTCCTTTGATGCTGATAATGAGAAGCCTGTGCTTCCTATTGAAATACTCCAAAAGGCACCCAATTTAATTGAAATGAGCATAAACACTTGCAATAGCCCCGAGATATTCCTTGCTCAAAACCACAAAATTGGTGAGGACGGAATACTTGAACAGTTAAGAGTATTGAAACTGAGTAAAGTGTCTGAGCTGCAGGCCATCAAGTCAGAGGACTCATCATGGTTAAACACAATTTGTGAGAAGATCCGCGAATTAAATGTCATCAGTTGTCCTCATTTGACAACATTAGTACATTCTACCTCTACAGCGGCTTTCTCTTGGCTCAAAAAAGTGTCTATCTCCAACTGTCCCGACTTGCAGTATTTGTTTACATCTTCAGCAGCCAAAGAGTTGGTGAACCTTGAGGAGATCACTATTGAGGAATGTGAATCAGTGAAAGAAATAGTGGCTAAAGTTGGAGATGCAACTTCAGAAGCAATTAAATTTGAGCGACTCAACAAAATTGTTCTACATTCTTTACAGAGTCTTACATGTTTTTACTCGGGCAGTGACACTCTGGAATTATCGTCTTTGATATTAGTGCATATAAGGGAATGCCCCAATATCAAGACTTTCTCCCAAGGACTCATATATGCAGAATCGTTTCTAGGAATTCAGATGTCCTCGGACCCAAAACAAGATTTGCTCTTCCACCAAGATCTTAATGCCACTATAAAAGGGATGTTGCAACGGCAGGTAAGATAAGAGCTTCATTTAAATCAAAAGATTAAATGGATTAGGTGAATTCAATGTCTTCAACAATTTATTTACAATACTCAATCTACTAGCCTTTCAACTCATTTATTTATAGGCGTATAAAAATTCAAACCAAATCAAGCCACTTTGGACCTGAATCAAGCCGATCAAAAAAATCCAAATTGTTTGAAAACAAAATTCAAACTGCACCACTTTAGGAAACTGGTTTGGTTTGGTTTTTCAAAAAACCAAATTATACATGATCATGGGAAGTATTATCAAACCAAACTGAATTGAATCGAAAAAAATATGAACTGTTTTGAAAAAAATCCAAACCAAACTACTTTATCAAAATGTTTCGGTGTGATTCAATTTAAAACAAACCATTTTTATAAAGTGGTTCAGTTGGGTTTAATTTTATTTATAAAAAAAACGTTTTGTTTTTGCACTGCAAGAATATATTCTGTTCTACTGTACATGTAACCAAAAAATTAACTCGTTTATTCTATAAAATATCGTGTAGGTCATATTAGAAAATTGGCTTATTAGTTACATCTCTTTTTTACTTTAAAAATTATAAATATCCGTATAGTTTCTTTTTAAAACTTGCTTTCACTTCATTTTCTTCTTATTTAGAATTTAAAAGTGATTTTTAAAATAAAATGCATAATAAGTTTTAAATTTAAAACAAAAGTTGTTTTTATAATATTTTGAACTGTTACTTTTAATTAAAATTTCCAAAAATAATTTCTTCTTTAAACCGTGTAATAGACCCCAGTTGTAGTCTTTATGAGTAAAAGACAAATGCTTGACGATCATGATCTTGAATCCATTTAATTACTTGGTCTAGTTTTTCCTTTCAATTTGAAGATGCTAAAACAAAAAGAATCGTAGATATTGTGCAACATTGTTTTACAGACAGACACATTGACCCAAAGCAAGCAATGGATATGATAGATATCTAATGATGTAATTATATATTACATACAGGAGTTTTTTAAAGCAGTGGAAGAGAGCGAGGAGTTCTTTTTTGAAGCCGTTGATGAGGAGTTTTTTGATGTACAAGTAGACGAAAATGGTAATGTTTCCATTGGGAAACAAAACGAATGGTTGTGCAATTTGAGAGAATTGAAGCTGGACAACTGCATTCTACCATATGCAATTCCGTCAGCTATTCTTCCTCTTTTAAAGAACTTAACAGAATTGGAAGTGCGGGACAGCAACAAAGTTGAGGTGATTTTTGATATGAATGACACTGAGAGTATGGAAACAACAACCCAGTTGAAAAAATTGACTTTAAAAGGGCTATCTGAGCTGAAACGTGTTTGGGGAGAGAATAGTCAAAGAGTTTTCAGCTTTCGAAATCTGAAAGAGGTTATTGTTAGTGATTGTAAAATCCTGCAAACATTATTTCCTTCTTCCCTGGCAAAAACTCTTGAGAAACTTGAGAAACTCAAAATAGAATCTTGTCATAAATTACAAGCAATTGTTGAAAAGCAAGAAGAAACAGCAGCAATTGTTGCAGAAATGTTTGTGTTCCCTCGTTTAGAGAAGTTGGATCTTCGTGACTTACCACTAGTCACTTATTTTTACCCTCAAACATTCACTTTGGAATGCCCTGCCTTAAACAACTTACATGTGTCAGATTGTCATGAGCTGGAGCTATTTCAAAGTGTACATTCCATGGGTGAGGGTGAAGGTTCAAGTACTTCAATTAACAGACAGCCTTTTATCTCAAATCTAAAGGTAAGCAAAGCATCATAGAATCAGAACTTAAACTTTTTTTCTCTTTTCATCTTCTAGTCGGCAATCATTTGCATCCTATTTGTTTTGCCTTTACTTGTTAGGTCATTTCCAACCTGAAAGAATTAGAACTTGATTGGAAACACATTTCGGCATTAAGCTTAAGGTTTATGTCAGAGCAATCTACTGAAGGCCTCAAAGATTTAAAGCATATTTCCCTCCTCTTTGGTGCTAATGAGAATGAGAAGGGTGTGTTGCCCATTGAAATACTCCAAAGGGCATCCAATTTAATTGAAATGAGTTTAAACAATTGCTATAGCCCTGAGATATTCCTTGATCAAAACCCCAAAATTGGTGAGGAAAGGATGCTTGGAGAGTTAAAAATATTGACACTGCACAAGGTATCCATGCTCCAGTCCATTGGGTTAGAGGACTCTTCATGGTTAAACACAATCTGCGAGAAGATCCAGGAATTGAATGTTGACAGATGTCTTCATTTGACAAAATTAGCACATTCTACTTGTAAAGTGTCTTTCTCTTGTCTGACAAAAGTGTCTATCTCCAATTGTCCCAACTTGCAATATTTATTTTCATCTTCCGCAGCCAAAAACTTGATGAACCTTGAGGAGATCAGGGTTGAGAAATGTGGATCAATGAAAGAAATAGTAGCTAAATGGGGACATGAAGATGAACATGAAGGAAAAGGTGAAGATAAATATGAAAATGAGATGAGATTCGCCAAGCTTGAGATTTTAACTCTCTGCTCTTTACCAAAATTTGAAAGCTTTTACACGGGGAGTTCCACTTTGAATTTCCCATCCTTGAAGAAAGTGGAGTTCACCAAATGCTACAACATGACAATTTTCCATCATGGTGACAAAGTGCCTGCAGAATTGATGGTGACAATTGATGGAGTCCATTGGGAAGGTGGTATAAATTCTGTGATCATTCAACAGTTGGAGGAGGTGGCAGCCTAAGTTTGGTGACAAATTCCCTTGACTTGTTTGTAAGTATATATGATAAGCAATTTCTCAAGGGCATGCAATTAATATATGTTAATCAACTTCTAGTGAGTGAGAAGGCCTTCATCATAATAACGTTTCTTTCTTTGTCTTCTACTACATAAATGAAGATTTGGGATTGTTAAATCAATATATATTTTACCCCACTATGTTTTGGTCATCTCTAATCACCTAACTTATGTTAATTATTTGCTTCAGGAAATTATGTTTAGTGAGAGAACCTTACTGTCATTGCATTCGCTCATGGTACACACTTGAAAACTAGCTTTCTTCTATTTATCGAGCACAACAGAGCAGAGGACATGGAATGTTAGTAAGTTTGTTTTCTTTAACTTCTTGCAGTTTCAAGTTTCATCTAATGAAAACACGGATCTGAACATAATAAATGATAACATTGACAAATGTATTTTGAGAAATTGAGAAGAAAAAAAAAATGTTCAGACAAGTTTTGTCTCATATGGAATGTATATCTTTTGCGGTCAGTATTATCGATAAGGATGATAATAGATCAGGTCAAGTTAGACTTTGAATATATAGATGGAACATATTCTACAAAATTAAAGTCTACGACGGACCTATTATCTATCTCAAGCTTTTTTTATTTATTTATAAATCTGACCCTTTTAAAGTCTGGTATAACCTTTTAAAAATTTGATTTGACCTATTAACCTATTTAAAAACTTATTTATATTAATAATGTTAATTAGGCTAATAAACTTAATTTTTAAAAAGCCAACAAATTTATTTTGAACTTGAATAATAAAATATAGTTTACTCAATATTATTAAAATTTAAATTTTGAAATATATATAATGTTACAAAGAGGAGAAAAGTGAATATTTTCTATTAGAGGGACAATGCATGCCTAGTTATATAAGTTGGCATACATTCATAAAGGCCGTAAATGTAAGTCTATAAATTTATAATGAAAAAAAATAACTCTATAAAAAAATATTTTAAATATTTTCTATATCTAATTTGGTATATTTTAAATAACCTACTAGTGTTAAGAAACTAAAATAGTTATGATAAAAATTTACAAACTAAAAAAAATTCATTTTACATGAGGTGATTTATGTGATATCGGGTACATATACAATATCACAAAGAGATAATAGATGAAATTATTTTATGTTAAAGAAACAACTCATGTACATCCATGTACACTCACTGACTATGCACAAGCTACGATGAAAGAGAGTAATCTTATTCAAATAATATTTGTATATTAATTTGTTATTATATTACATAGATAAATAGTCTGGTCTACCATGCTTAATAGACTTTTTTATTAGCTTAAGTTTAGCCTTTTAAAATAAATAAGTTTTTTTAAAAAATCTAAATTTGACTTTTTTATTAAACAGGACATACCAGATTTTAAAGAGGTCAGATCATATACCCTTATTTAAAGTCTGACCTATTCTTATCCCTAATCATCAATAGAAGTCTTTGTTTATAAAATGTTGAAAAATATGTCATGGCTAGAAAAGTCATAATTGTCAGAATTAGAATTATAAAATGAGGTTAGCTAAAACACCATGAAAATGCCGAAAGTTGATAATGTCACATTTTCTCAATCTCAAGCCTTACACTATGGTTTAAATGTTGTGACTCTTTTACTTACCAAATTTGGGGTTCCACCCGCTGTACTCATCAATTGTTTTACTTTCAGCTACAATCTAACGAAATTGTTTTTCTAAAAAATTTCAAGGTTCTGGGAATCAGGGGAACTCAAAGAAGGCAACGATAGCATCATTGACAACAACTATCAACAAATTGAGGTCTTTTCTTTTCTGTTGAAGGGCGGTGTTCATGAATAAACTTTTCCTATATACCTGTAGGAAACATGAAATCCGAATGGTTCTTAAGTTATACATGGGTGTTTTATGCATAAAATGGTCCCTTTTTAATCCAGGAGCAGGTGTGTGTGTGGTATTTAAATTATAAGAAGATATTTGACCTGTATTGCTGAAAGAGGTATGCATTGTTTTAAATTAAGTTGTTGAAGAGTTTTCTACAAATAAAATTGACATGAATGTATTTCTAGAGAAGGATGCTCCATGCAGAAAGATGGCAACTTGGCATGCACCTCTACGGATGTTGTGTATATGGTTTTTAAGTTATAAGGTGTTTCATGAATAGTGTTGACGTGTATTTCCATGTGTATGTCCTTGAAATAATGTTGACATAAACAATGTTTTTAAATTACGGATTTTAAGTTGTAAAAGGAGTGTTTAGTGAATAAAGTTGTCCTGTAAATCAACCAGTGGCATATGGCTTTTAAATTATATAAAGAGTGCTTCATATATAAACTTCAACAGTATTACCTTAAGATATGTTAGTGTCAGTCGTTTAGACTCCTTGATGTGGTGATATATGACAAGGAGAGGGAGGTTGGAGCAATTGGCAATGGTAGCATAGAGATAGAACTCCTTGCATAGGAGCATTTTTAACAACCTCTTCCAATATGCAGTTTACTTCTTGTCTACTGTCTGTAGACGGGAACAAAGTGTAAACTGTAAATGTTCAACTCCTAAAAACTTACCTATTAAAATGTAAAAAGTGTAAGGAGCAATTAAGATAATGTTAGAACACCAAATGTGGACTCGAGGCCCACAATTTGGAGGGTTTACTCCAGAAGAAATAATAAAAGGAGTGCTGAGGTGGCAGAGAGAGTAGTAGGTTTTGGGTTGTGAAGAGAATTCTGTTAAAGGGGTCCGGATGGGAAGAGGGGAATTTTGGAGAGGTTGAAATTGGTTATGGGCAGAGAGCATTTGTGCCTCTAAAGGAGCGTTGCTCTGAACAGTGGGGGTTACTATTCTTTTGTGTTCTCCTTTTATGCTTCATAATACACTGATTTTCTTAGTAGTGATTGTTGTTCACTACTATTTTTCCTTAATTTTGTGTGGTTTTTCTAAAGGATATAATATTTTTAGACTAGTCAGCATGAACTTGTTACCTTCCTCGCGTTAAAATCCACCTTATTTTGAATGTCTTTTGTGAATGAAATTGACTGTATATCTATATATCAAGTAATTGTTGGACTTTGATAGTGGAGATCTCTAACTTTTGTCTTATGAAACACTTTGGATATCAGTACCGGCATCATCTCTTTTTCCCAAAATCTAGGAACACCACCTATCAGTAGAAAAAATTGCAGAAAGAAAGCAAGATAAAAAAATGAGAATACCGGGATTGTGTCTAGGACTAAGAGAAAAGACAAACTAAAAGGAATGAGGAAAAGATTGTTTCTTTGTCAATCAGTCAGATAACTAATTAAACTTCTAGAAATCCTATCCATCAAAAGTTGTTTGTAAGAAATATTAATTAGTGGGTATTAGTTTTTTAAGAACACTTAACTCTAATGAACTCTATAAATAGAGCTCATACGTTGTATCTTTAATTCAAGGTCTAAAATATTGTTTCGCAACACAATTAAATGATGCAACAGAATGGTTTCAGACCATAACGACGTGAAAAATGCCATTTTACTTGCAATTTTCTTTTCCTAAATCCGATTTCAAATCAATAATTGCAAGAAGAATCAGAATCCATGGTACAAAAATAAAAAGCTAATAGGAAACGGGCGTTGCTGCACTCCTTTTCATTCTGTTATTTACTAATTCAGGATATAAGTGCCTATTATTCCGTTTTTGTTGTTTGAAATCCATGATGGTCAACAAGGTTTATATATTGTTTAGGGTTTAGGGTTCATATCCACTACTTCATTAAACCGGAAATGCCAAAGAATTATGAAACAAGAATGAATGTACAACAATAAATGACACCTGTTCTTACCAAGATCAACCCGGCTCTCTTGTTCATCCCTTGACGTTAAAAGGAGGGTCTAGGCCACTCTTACCCCTTAATATCGATTGGGGGCCTTGTTCCGGTATATCTAAAAAATCTCACATTGTTTAGGAGTCGAGGCTAAAGGTAATTTATATAAACACACTCTCTCTTAATCTACCGAGGTGCCTTTTAAAAGACAAATTCGTGATGGTCCAACAAGTAACAAAACGGACAATACCTTAGATGTGGTAATCTTAATAATAACAGCGAACTTACGATAAGAACAACATCTAATAATTATTCTTTGTTATTTATGCAGAAGCCAAAAATTCATATGTTTACATCCCTACACCAAAAGTTTTAGGGTCTACAACATTTCATGATTATTAAGAATATGATAATTACTTGGATTCATTATCGATTCCTAATCTAAGTGTTCTTCAATAATTATTGCGGAATCTTTATACATTATGAACACAAATACATAGATTTAATAGTCTTTAGTCTTTCATTAGATGAGGAGAAAAAAATGAGTTTTGTGAGTGATTCAATATACCGGAGACAATAATATTCTTGTAATAAAAGAGTTTTCATTATCTCTTGATAGGTCAATACCGACCTCAATCCTTTAAGTCAATAATGTCTAATTTAATAGTCTAATTGGTTAATTTAATTTGATCACACAAAATAAAGTTCATTAAGGACAATGAACTAATATAATTGTTTTATTTGTTTATATTATTTATTAAAATATAAAATTTCAACGATACCAAGACATGATTCAAATACAAATCCAAACAAGGATTTCTAAGTGCATTTGTTAACAAACTTCAAAAACTCGAGAGGGAATTAATTGTATTATAATAAAAACATTTTCGTGTTACAATAGCCCCCAAATCATGAAGAATACTATTGAGAAGGAGATAAAGAAAGAAACCTCAAATTAATAAAATTAGTAATTGACATTCAGTCCTTTAGATACTATTCTTTTAGACGGTATGCTTGTCTTTAGCGTATTTTAAACGTAACAAATTTTCTTCATTACGACTTAGCATTTTAGTTTTGTTTTTATCAAAAACTGCAAAACAATTTCTCTTTTGGCTTTTTTTTTTTTTTAGGATGGCAAGCCAACATTTGTGTTCTTGATTAACCATCTTCACCTCTTAAGATACACACGTTGAATTTGAGGTGCAAAAGATACTAGTTGTTAAATGTGATACCAATTTACTTTATCTAACCATGAGTGAATGCTTTGAATGATCTTTAACCTTTCCTTAATTTGTGAATCCATGAATTTTCAACAATTATTTCTCTCCCAATTTTTTCAGACTTAATTATGTTTTTTATCCTTTAAATTTGAGTAACATATTCTCTTGGTTCCTAAAATTTAAATTTTGTTTTTAATTCCTAAAATATCAAAAGTTATTATTTTAGTCTCTCAAATTTATAACTTATCTTTTTAGTCTCTATTATTTTAAAAAAATATTGCTTTAGATATATATATATATATATATATATATATATATTGTTTCCTCAAACTTAAAATATATTTTTAGTCCCAAAATATATAAAAATATATTATTTTAGTTCTATGCTCAAATATCATCAATAAATGTATCACATAGTTATTTTATTAGTCTCATTGTTAGTGAAAATATCACATTTAATCAATTGATACTTTAAAATTATTCCAATCTATTACTGCCAATTATGTTATTAGTGGCTATGAGAGCCTAAAACAATATATTTTGAAATTACGAAATTAAAATGATAAATTTTAAAGTTTAGACAAATGATTTTTATATTTTAAGGACCAAAAATACATTTTAAATTTGAGAGACAAAGAATATATATACAGGAACTATAGATGATGGTACATGACAAAAAAAATATTCATTTATAAAACTTGTGATAATAACAATTATCAACAAATCGAGAGCTTTCCTTTTTGGTTGAAGTGTGGTTTTCATGAATAAAGTTTACATGTATACCCGGACGAAATGTGCGTGGTTCTTAACTTATGCATGGCTCTTTTATGAATAAAGCTGTTTTGCATTTATACAGAAGCAGCAGATGAGTGTATAGTTTTTAAATTTTTAGAAGGGTGTTTCATATGACATGTATTGCTACAGAAGGTTTGCATCGTTTAGAATTTATTGAAGGGTTTTGTATGAATAAAGGTTACATGAATGTACTTCTAGAGAAGGATGCTCCATGGAGAACCTAGGCAACTTGGCATGCATTTCTACATGTGTATGGTGTTCATGTTACAAGGTGTTTCAATGTTTCATGAATAACGTTGACCTGTTTTTTTTGAATGCATGTATACTGTGTTTTCAAATTTTACAAGGTGTTTCATCAGTGTTATTGGTTTAGGCTTCTTGATGATGAAGATGTGGTGGTGTGTGAAAATGCGGGAGGTTTTGGATGAGTTAGCAATGGGAGCAAGATATATACCAAGCTATGAGCAGCTTTAGTCCGCGACTTGTTGACGGGGCTGGGTCAAGAAGTGTCAATGTTAAACTCCTCAAAACTTACCTACAAACTAGATATTGACTCGCAAATTGCGGGTTTAACACTATTAGAATTTCTTATATTACATGCACTTTTTTATGTGAATTTTGTATAAAAATTTATAGAAAATATTATTCTTACAAATTTTTTTACGAAATTTTATCTCAGGGTAATACTTTCGTGGATAAAATATTTTTACTAATTTTAAAATTTGCAAGAAATTTTTACCTACGAAAGAAATTTCTAGGAAAATTTCCTGTGAAATTTCCTACAAATTTTTTTTGCAAAAAATTTAAGGGAAAATTTTCTTACAAAAAAAAAATCAAAGAAATTACTATTTGGAGGTAATTTTTGTACAATTTCTATTAATCCTTCAACTTTCAAATGCATACAATGAATTCATCTAAAGCATTAAGAAATTTACTTTCATGCCTCTAACATGTGATAGATAACCTTTTAAACTCTTATATTAAAAATTATAAGTCTAACACTCAACCATACAAAATCAATTTATAAGGTGAGTGTTGTCCTAACTTATATACTCTTTAATTATTTTATTTCTAATCGATGTAGGACTTGAGCAAAAGAAGAAGATTTTAAATATAATTCAATTCCCCTAAATCATTAAATCAATTATACAATGCAGTATATATATATTTACAAATAGTAGATAATTATTCTAGTAACAAATATGTAACCACCTAATAATTATGATTAATGACTAACAAATTTTTAATTATCTAATTACGGTTACAAAGATAAAAAATATTAATCCAGGAGGATTAATTCTCCTTAATATAAAAGGTGGTTTCAATATGATCGATTATTCACACGATCCATCTATACACCAATATACAAAGGTGATTTCATTTATGTGAAAAAAGACGTGCAACGGTAGAACTTGCATATAGAATAGAAAAGAAAAGAATTCCTCTTACCCGACAGCAATTCAGAATTTTATAAGAATTTAGTTCAGTCTCTAATGCATCATATA